CAGGGAGCCCGATGCGGGACTCGATCCAGGGACTCCAGGATCATGGCCTGAGCCGAAGGCAGTCGCTTAACCAACTGAGCCACCCAGGCGCCCTATGTGTCTTTTTTTAAAGGATCAAAAAGAAGAACCCAGTATCTTTAGTATGAATTTCTCCCTTATTCCTTAGGACATTCCTGGTTATGTGCCGGTTACATTTTTAGAGAAATGAAGAGTACTGCCTTGTTTTCAGGTGCTACATGTTGGAGGTGAAATGTTGTGACATTTGTAAAGTGCTTATTTTAAATGACACATACCACACACACCCAGCATCCAGCAAACACACACACGTGCTCATTTAAAGTAAGCCTCGGACAGAATGCATATGTACGAATATATAAAGAGAGAAAATGTGGCAAAACATTAATAATTGATGGATCTAAGTGAAAAATATGAAATTTTCATTCTACAGCTTTAAGATTTTTCAAAAAAAAGTTGCAGGGCGTGGGAGGGTACACAGGAGTAGAAAATGATTGGAGGCTCGGGCCTGGGAAGCAGCGTAGATGTGGGTAAAGCTGTGAAGGGGGACCCAGATGCTTACTGCTTGAATCCTATACCGTGAGGATGTATCCACGTGTAGAATCAACAGGCCCAGGAAAAGGGGAGCTGTGTGTAAACCCCTGTGATGCGTCCTGCACAAGGTCATGCTTGCTAAGCATTAGCTGTGGGCGGTTACGCATTTCCTGATTCAGGGAAGAAAGTGCGTGGTGTCTGTTTGCTCTTGGAAGGGGGTCAGGCCAGGCTTTGATTGACTGGTGCTGTGAAGCTTCTGACTCAGTCCTGACACTTTACAGAGGATGTCACACTCTTCCCATTAAATGAGCACAAAAGTTGAATATGAAACATGCAAAGGCCGAGCTCCCCGCAAACCCAGCACGCTACTCCATGTTCAGACTCTGCAGCAAATCACATCACCCCTGCACCTGGAGAGGTTCGAGCTCCTGAAGACCAGGAGGCGCTGGGCCATACAAGGCCCCCCTGAGGTTCTGCTCCTGGTTCAGGAGCCCTGCTCATCACTAGACACAGAGTGATACGAAATACGGATAATAGTGATTACTTCACAAATCATTTCTATATATTCAGCATTTCTAGAAAATGGATATAGAAAGAAACTACACACCCCAACATCTAGAAACAAAAGAAGAGCGCACTGCTAAAATCTCTCCGTAGGTTCTTATTAATTCCAATTGCTTTTCTTTGATCCCTATGTGGCTGACTAATTCCACGGCAGTCACATCACCAAACCATGCATTCGAGTAATTTAAGTGGCAAAAATATCCATAAAATGCCTCAGTATCTGGTTCATCTTGCCAAGCAGTTGACCTGCACACTGTGCATGACCACAAATATTCCCTGGCTGATGCATCCCAGAGTTCCGGAGTGCCGGAGTGCCTTGGAGACCCAAATGTCA